GAAAAATTAAAGGGTTTTTTTTTTTTTTTTTTTTCTGTCTTGCTAGCTCTGTGAGCTCAGCTGGGGCTCCCCACCATGCTGGGCTCCATCAGGCATCATCAGGACTTGGGAACCAGTGCGTGGAATTTAGTTAATAGCTAATAGTTGATGTATGAGACAAATGCAAGTCGGAGGCCTGAGCTTTGCTCGCTCTTTGGGGCACTGTAACGTGTTGAGAACTCTGTTTAAATGTTGAAACATGCAGGTCATGAGCCCCATGGCTGGATCTGGTGGTGGGGTGCTGTTTGCACATGGAATCCCATTCCAGGGAATGGCCAGTAGTTACGTACACGCCCAAGTTTTTCCTTTGATTGCAGTGGGAGTTTTGGGCGTGCAAAGAATCTGGGAATGGCTCCTACATGATTTACTGGCAGATAATTTACACAGGCTACTTCTTGGCTGTGTTGTGTGCATTTCCTTTCTGCAGAGCCTGTCTTGGAATAGTTTAAGCACCATCAGATTTATCTGCAGGACCTTTGGAGTACAGTTTTGGGAGGGAATGCCAGCCATCAAGCCAACTTCCCCAGTTTTGAAAAAAGGAATGTATATCTAGGTTATTTTTGTGCATGGCTGTCCCTAGGGCTTTAAATGGCTATAAAGTAAGGACTATAGCCATTTAAAAGAAGTTAGTAGGGAAGGACCACAGTGACCTTGGCAATATCTAATTGCGGACTAAACTTTCTGGGTGGGCATTGAGCAGTGGATAAAAAAAAAAAAAGTAAAACCTTGGCAGGAGCTGCCAGGTCTCATTATTTTCAGTAGAGCCTGACATTTCTGATGTTCAAAAAAAAAAAAAAATATAAAGTCAACAACTTCAAAGCAGTAGAGGCATATGGAAAAAAGGGTTTGAGCAAAACAAATTTAGCAGTGATAAAGTTATAATAAGAAATAAGCAGAGGTTTTTCGCAGGCTTGCTTATGGCTTTTCTTCTCTTTTGCTCTCCCTATCCCCCCCTCTGCAGGAATGGGAGCTGGTGGTGCTGGGGAAGTTGAAGTGGAACCTTGCAGCCGTCACCCCACATGATTTCATTGAACACATCCTAAGGAAGGTGCCTCTCCCTAAAGACAAGTTGCTTTTGATCCGGAAGCATGCACAAACCTTCATCGCCCTTTGTGCCACAGGTAGGCTCAGCTGCTCTGGCTGCTGCTCATAGTGTGGTTGGAAGGGCAGATTTGTTCCTGGTGGTGCTTCATCCCCTCCATCCCTACATGATGTGGGAAGAGCAGCTGAATCCCATGGGACTGTTTGCAAAGGGTGTTGTGAATCAGGCCCCAAAACTGTGCATTGGACAGAATTCTTGCAGTAGTGACCAGTAGTGGAGCTGATTTGTGTGGTGCTTTTGCAGTGAAGTCTTACAAGGCTGTATTAGACCATCCTGGGTTCTATTTTACTTCATTCACTGCTTCTTTTAGAGGGCCACAGATACGTGTAAGGACAGCTTCAAGTACAGAACCTATTGTGGCACATTAGCCCAAAATGTATTGAGCTAATGCATTGCATGAATGTGTTCATAAACTTTTCTTTAACTGGACTCCATCCAGATAAAAGGTAAAATTGTGTGGTTTAGCATTTATGTAATACTGTCACAGCCCTGAAGCACAGGGAATGACAGTTTAAAAAGTAATTGCTTTTTTTTAAAAAAAAAATTTGGATTCTTTCCTGGCTTCACCCCAAGATAGCAGTGAAACTACTGTGTTTCATAAGGAACCATTGCACTCCCTTTTTGTCATATAGCTGAACACAGTTTCTGAAGATTTAGATGAGAATAATTGTCTCTTTGGAAGAGAGGCTTTTTAATTTTGACCCGTCTGCAAAACACTGGTTTTTGTTCGTGTGTTATTTTGTTGTTTGGGTTTTTCCTCCCTCAGTTACTTTTACAAAATTAGTGTACTCTGAATTTTCATCCAAAGGGTTAATGGTAAGGCTACTTTTAGAAGTTAGACCTGGACTAGATAAACAGCATGCAGTGTTTTTCAGAGTAATTTTCAAGAAATGGATGGCTCAGTGTTTGAATTCACCAGTTTGACATACCTTGTGCTTTGTGATAGGAACTGTTCTGCCTGTGCGTTTGCAGAGGGGAAGGGAAGACTGGGTGCAGCTTTTGCGTTTGAACACCTGTTTTTTGGTATTTAAGATGTAGTGACTACTTTTACAATGTTTTCCAGTTCTTCCTATCTCAGATTATGTGTTTTAGAGATTTGTATATGGTCTGTGTTAGGATAATTGACTTTTTGGTCGCCATGATGCTCAGACTTCCCCTTGTTTTCCCACTGCTTCATGATCCTTTTCAGATCAAAGGACTCAATAGAAGTATTGCTCAAACACTGCAGGATCAGTCTTGGTGATTTCTTTGCCTTCTCCCCTTACTCAGGATACATTTCCCCTTACTCAGGATACAGTTACTGTTCTGCCTTGTGTGATATGAAAAAGGTGGTCTTTCCCGTGGACATTTCCCTGGGTCTTCACACCATCAGCCATCAAACTCCAATACAGCTCCATGTTGCCTTCCAAACAAGTCAATATTCCCACTCTTTTGTTGCTTTCACTTCCTACAATAGTGTTTTGGTTTGTTTTCTTTTTAATCCAACACAACATTTTCTTGAGAGCCCTAGAATTTCATTATGGTTTAACATCTCAAATTCTGGTCCATAGTCCTTTGCCCTTGAAGTTTGCCATATAACCAAACCATTGCAAGACTGGGGGTCATGAAAGAGTCTCCAAAGTCCATGGCTTCTTTCCACTCCATGAATTCTTTGGTGGTTAGCTCCATGCTCTAGAAGTCCTTTAACTGAGATCCAGAGCAGTGCCCCCTTTCCAGCCCTCAGCCCAGTCATGCAGTTCCCTCATGTGTGTTCCCCCATGTGATCTGCATCTCATGTTATATGTTTCCGATGCACGAAATGAAGTCCTTTGTGTAGAGTTTAAAGAGGCAACAAGTCAAGAGTTTCTTCTCTTAAAAGTGAAAGATGTAATTGCTGACTAGAGAGCTTTGCAAAAGGGAGGGCACCATGGTGCTGGCCGGAGATTTCCCTTTTTTTCTCACCCCATTGTTCACAGGCCACTGTGTAGTTTTGAGGGGGACCCACAGCACTTTTTCATTTCGAAAGCAGAGATCTTACCCAGGCACTCAATACCACATTCCCACTTTACCTGTGAACTGCTACCTCAATTTCCATTGTGGAAATGTTGTTACTGCAGAATTTCCCTTTCACTGCCACTCTTTGAAGAAAAGCCCCTTCTCATCAGACTTCCTTCCAGATCCAGTTGTCATTTCCTTTTCTTGTCCTGTTTGTTGCAGAGCTCTCATCAGCTACTCTGTTTCTTCTTTGTTTTTTTCCCTCAGAGCCGCTGCTCTCTGCCAGCCGGGGTTATGCCTGGTGTTTCATTTCCCCATTTGCCTCCTTTCAGCAACAGAACCTCCTCGGACATGTGGCTCCTTCTTCCCTTGCTCCCCATGTGTGTTTTTAGCCTGGGTTTGACTCTTTACTATTCCCAGACCTGACGTGGCTGCCTGGCTAATAGCTCTGGTCTGGAGCGCAGCAGTGAATCTATTTCCTGATTCATCTCAGCATAGCTTTCTCTGCTTTCAAGTACTCTTCTCCTTTAGAGTATCATGCAAAATCTGGCATATTTTGAACTTTTCTCCCCTAGCCTTAGTTCTTCTTCGTCAACTGCTCCCTTTTAATTTCCCAGCAAAAACTTTTTACCAGAAATTCCCAGGTGTTCACTGCCTGTACGGAGCTGGCTTTGATCTCAGACCTGCAGCACTTGGTATCAGCAAATGAAGAGGGAAGCAGCCAGAAACAGTTACTGGGTGTTATGCTGGATGTGTAGAATCACTGTGATACTCATCCCTGTTCTCCTTTCCATCTGAACATTCCCCAAAAGGAGGTAATAGTCCATTCTTTTGCATATTCCTTTTGGTCATGTTTGGTCACTTTGGCACTCTCTCTGTTTCTCTGCCTTTATTTTGAGCCCAATGAACCTGAACCAAGCTGTGTGGTTATAAATCCACGGCTTCTCCCCAGTCCTTGCAGTGATTAATGATTCACATGAGCATGACTAGAACTGGAATGTCTCCCTCTTTGCCCTTGGTCCCATTGGAACATATGGCTGCCAAGCAGGACAGAAGCTTGTGTGTCCTCCTGAATAAAGTTTTCCCTTCCATTGCTTTGCACTCACAAAGGTTTCAGGAGTCTCCTTCTCCATTAGGAGGGCATGGAAGTGGCATTTTCCTCCAGCTGCCTTGCTCACTGTACAGTAAGAGTGCATAGATGGACAGTATGCACTGGCATAGCTTGATCTGTCACCATGTCATTGTTTTCTCATTCCACTGGTGGCTCCCTGTGCAAGTCAAAATCTCCTTCAGAAGGCTTCTGAATTTTCAAGGCACCAAGAGTATGCATTTGGGGCCTTTAAGTAGTGTTTATGGCTTCTCTCTTATGAGGAGAGACTGAGGCAGCTGAGCTTGGTTAGTCTGGAGAAGACTGAGAGATGATCTTATTAATGCATATAAATATTGTTAAGAGGGTGTCAGAGGATGGTGCCAGGCTCTTTTTAGTGATGCCCAGTGACAGGATGAGGAGCAGTGGCCATAAACTGAAGCACAAGAAGTTCCACCTCAACAGGAGGAAGAATTTCTGTACATTGAAGGTGGCAGAGCCCTGGAACAGCTGCCCAGGGAGGGCCTGGAGCCTCCCTCTCTGGAGACATTCCAAACCCACCTGGACACATTCCTTTGTCACCTGCTCCAGAGGACCCTACCTGGGCAGGGGTGTGGATTGAGAGAACTCCAGAGGTCCCTTCCAGCCCAAATGATTCTGGGATTCTTCAGCATGGGAGGTTCCTGTTTAGCTGTGAACCCAATGGAGATCATCATCATTTTGCTCGCTGGAATTGCATTGCTTTTCCACTCTGCCCTCACCTCCATCTCTTTACTGCTCTGCACCCTTTGTTCCTCTGTCTCTTTGCACAGCGCTGCACAGCTTGGAAATGTTCTCTGAGGGGCTGGCCATTTGCCTGTGCTGAGCTCCAAGCCAGGGAATCACTGCTGGAAGGAGTGGGAGAGGCCAGTGGTTACAGAGGTGTGTGCAGAGCCTGCCACGCTGCTGCTGGGAAGAGAACTGTGCATTATTTCCTTACACTTTGGCATGCTCATGATTTCTTCTTGCAGCCTGTTCAGAGTCACAGATGCACCACTGCTTCCTTGTGTTACGCTCTCCTCTCAGAGGCTGTACATGCCACGGTTTTGGTGCAGGATATCCCTTTCTTATGTGAGAGCCTGAAAGGGAATGGTTTTTGAGGGAGGGTGACCTGTGTGTGACAGGCTATCAGAAAGAGGAGCTGTAATGGAGACACTAAGCTCTGTGAGGAGCTTCACAGGATTTTAGATGGGTGGCGGGCAAACCTTGGAAGCAGAAGCCTTTGCAGACTTGCAGAGGCAGAAGGCAGCTTGTGTAAAACCCTCGACTCAGTCCCTTCATGGTCCTTCCTTGCCTCAGCTGAGTCCTGTGGCAGGAGGGATGTGCTCATGGTGGGTCCAGCATCCCAGTCCTCCGAGCCTGTGTTGTCAGCACAGAGGCCAAAAAAGAGCGGGAAAATGTCAGCTTAAGTCAGTTTCATACAGTGTGCCAAACCTCTGCCCACTGTTTCTGGGACATTAATAATCTACACTTGAAAGCTGAGAAGGCTTTTTTTAACTTCTGGGCCAAATCGTACCTCCTTCTTCAGACAGAAGTTCTGTGGAAGTCAATGGGAGTGTTGTCTGAGCGAAGACTGCAAGATGAGGTCTACAACCCTGTAGTGATCTATGGGATGACCACACAGAATGAGGCCTGTTTGCTCCTCAGCATTCCTGCTGGGCATTTCTACTCTGCATCCCCTTTTCATCCAGTGTAAGTTACTGGAAGGTGTGATACAAATTTTGTTTAGGACCTGTTCTTTGCAGAGGGGAAAAATGAAGCAGAGGCTTCATTATGTAAATGTCTTAAGAAGTAAAATACGTGTTGCAAAGTGGCAGTGTTTACAGAAACTTCTTGCATAGCAGAAGGAAGAATAATTTGCACTAGTTTATTGCAAGACAAAGGAAGGCTCTTGGTTTCTCCAGGGAGAGGCAGCTCAT